GCATAAATGCTAGTAATTAGGATGTATGGAAAGATAAAAACAACAAGTAGATAACCCCTAAATCAAAGACTAAATGCATGCAAATCAAACACATTATTCACACATGCACCCCTTAGGGTAATTCCACTTGTTGCCTCGGAAAATGCAATCATGTCCCTCGAGTATGAGACACTCTAGAAATTGTCCCTTCGATAAACAAAGATCGTAGTCCCTCGATGACCCTCGATGTTGCCTTCGATGAAACGATCTCGTCCCTTACGAAATTGCTAGAGCGTCTCACAAGTTGCCTTCAATGATTGCATACGATGACCCGTGCCTGTCCCGTTTAAACATCCTAACACAAGGTTGTTCACCAAATACAATGGTGAAACAACACTGTTAAAAGGGTTAAAAAAACATGAGAAAGATCTTTGAGTAAAATTAGGGTAGATAGCTCTTAGTTACTTGATCAAACTTGCAAAACATCCTTGCCATTTTTTAAACATACATCTCAACACAATTTCAAAACAAACTTTCAAAAACATTGAAACATCTTTTCAAAAAGATAAACACCTTTGTAAAACATTCAAACGAATTGTTACAAAGGTTGCCTAGACAAGGCATCTTTTTAAAAACATTTTCAAAAACCACACACACAAAGCACCATTTCAAACAATTGAAAAGCAAAGGCAAGTGATCTAAGCAAGTGACTAAGAGCCCATGGATAACCATGGATAGAAAGGGTGCTAATACCTTCCCTTTCTATAATCTACTCCCCGAACCCAAGAAAACATCTCAAAGGTCTTTCCTGTGCTTTTTGACCTTTCCTTAGGATAAAATAAAAAGTCGGTGGCGACTCTTGCTAAACCGCAACATTTGCGAACACAAACGCAAAACCAAGTCAGTTCTCCCACCGTATCACAGAACTGGCGACTCTGCTGGGGAGTATTTTTTAAGTGGAGTAACCTTAGGGCTTAGATCACCCTTTTGCATGATTATTGTTTGCTTTGATTGCTTTACATTTTGGTTCTCTTGTTTGTGCTTAAAATCCTCCACCCGGATTTGGGGAAACATTCATAGATAGCAATACGTTGTGGAAACTGTGCGGGGTATAACGACACGGTTGAAGCAATAGCTATATTAGTGCGACATATTTGTGAGTACCGGTAGCCTTTGAGTCAATCAAAGAGAATACGGGGCTAAATAAATTTTGAGCCTTATATCCTTTGTTTCTTAAGCCACGAACCAAGGCCACGTTATAACCTTCAAAAGTCCTAATTGAAGCAATGTTAACTATGAAAGCATACTCGACAAAAAATGTGTTAAACTGACTCATATGTTTGTTAAAACTATTGATGACCACTTCGCTTCTTCGAATCTCCATTTCTAATCATTCATTTCTATTCCATAACAAACTTTGATTTCAAAACTTGCATGTACATCAAACATAATTACTTTTCAAAATGTACAATTTTATCTACGAATAGACACTTAGCATCAAAGGAGATCTCAAAATTGGTTTAATCAAAAGCGGTCCTTTCCAGGAAGCTTCTAACTAGGGGAAAAGCATCCAAAAAAGAACCCTATAATCGTAAGCAAGACTATTGATCGTAGGGGCATATCACATGAAGATCCTATTGACTAGGGGTGATCATTCTGAGATTCAATCAACTTGGTTCAAATTTAAAAGCACCAATCAGGGGCATACCTTTCTAAGGAGAATTCCTTAATCAAGTCATATCACAACGTGGTATGACTCGGTTTCATATTTTCAACAAACTTCTTAAGTCCCTCCAAGACTCAAATGTTAGGGCAGTGCATATCAATTTCATCTTATAGAATGTAGGGTTCAAGTTCCCCTTCAAGCGAAATTAGATACAAACTCCGCAAGATTCGAGTACTTGGGGTGATTCATATTGAACCTATATCATGGATATCTAAGAGTACCTCCTCCAAATTCTAGAGATTGAGGGGCATACCTTTTAAGGAACTCAAATATAGGGGCAAACCACAGCGAGGCTCGATCAAGAGAAGTTGATTAGAGACGTTTGTTTTTAAGAGTCTGTTAATCAGGGGCATAGTTCAAGATATTAGGGTCATTCATGTGAAAATATCGACAGTAGATTCCTTGAAAATATCGACAGAAGATTTCTCATTAATAGCCTCACGTCATGCATAAAATTCACATAACCATATCAAAGTATCAAGATTATTCATAACATTTGGCACATCTGACATACGGAAACATCAAAAAAAGCTTTTGATAAAACATCAGAGAGTATTTTGGTTAGAAAAAACATCGAAAGAGGTCCACGACTACACCTATGCCTACAATACAATCTTCAAATCTTGCTGACAATATTCACCTTGTAATGTCAAATCAACTTGGAGATACCACGACAAAACAACATCCAACATTGGGGAGTCGGTGGCAAAAGAAAAAGAGCCAATGGTTTAAAAGGAGAAAAAGATCAAAAGTATTTACAATACATTTGGTGCATGAACATACGCAACATTTGCTGCATATACATATACATTTGGGTTTCATATCGATTTAGGGCATCATGCATATACATCGTTCATGGAATTTTCAAATCTACTTTGGATAAGAATACTACGAATTTTCTTGGGGCTTGTTGTTGAATTAGCTTGTCTACTCAAAACAAACAAACACCTTGGTTGAGAATAGACACAACCGATAAATTTTGATCTTATCTTTCGTTTAGTTATCTAAGATTCGATTATCAAAACACTTTTTGAATTTCAAACTCGCATCATTTATCCCCTAGGTTGTGATAAATATGCAAAATCTGCGATATAACTTATTGTGTTAGTCTCAAAGCAGCGATACATTATCTAACCCGTATTATCTATCATCTAGGTTGTGGTAGATATGCAAAAATCTATAGTTCACTGTGTCAGTTTCTAAGCGATAATGAATTATCATGTTTGTGTTACTTATCCTCTAGGTCGTGATAAATATACAAGCCTATACTCGTGTTATCTACCTCTTAGGTTGTGGTAGGTATGCAAAAATTTATAGTTCATTGTGTCAGTCTCTAAGAAATAATGAATTATCAGGTTTATGTTATTTATCCTTTAGGTCGTGATAAATACACAAGCTTATACTCATGTTATTTACCCTCTAGGTTGTGGAAGGTATGCGAAAATCTATAGTTCATTGTGTCAGTCTCTAAGTGATAATGAATTATCAGGTTTGTGTTATTTATCTTTTAGGTCGTGACAAATACACAAGCTTATACTCGTGTTATCTACCCTCTAGGTTGTGGTAGGTATGTGAAAATGTATAGTTTATTGTATCAGTCTCTAAGCGATAATGAATGATCAGGTTTGTGTTATTTATCCTCTAGGTTGTGATAAATACACAAGCCTATACTCGTGTTATCTACCCTCTAGGTTGTGGTAGGTGTCATACCCTAATTTTTGACCTAAGATCCCATTTTTTATTTTTTACATTTTTATACATAAGTCAAGGTCACAAAATAAGGTCGGTTTTAACCTCTCACCTTCGAGCATTGACTATGCAGAAATTGTCAAGTATTTTGAACATTCTTAGCCTATGTATCACTAACTTCTAGTCAAGCACTAAGTGTGTGTGTGTGTGTGTGTGTGTGTGTGTGTGTTTCATTTCTTTGATTTTATTTTCAAGAAACAGATATGAATCAAGAGCATCAGGCATCACGCCTCGATTAGGGTTTGGAATCTCTCAATCCAGAAGTACAATTGATCGTTGATTCTTGAAGACTGATTCATCAGGGGAATCGTGTGTTTATTTCCATGCTCTGTTCAACAAGTGGTCTCAAGCTTCTCCACAACTTCCTCAGAGCACGAACAAGATTTCATCATCACTGGCTCACATGTGCATAAAGATGCTTTGGAATGCAAAGAAAGATCAAGTTTGTAAATCAATTCAAAGCACTTTGACCAAAAGTCAATGCTTGCACATTCAAGTTCAAACGATTATAACTTTTTCATTATTCAATATTTTTGAATGGTTCTTTTTGCATATGATTCTCCTTGAAATCATCTACAATTTTTCTTTACAAGTCAAGAGATTATTATGCTTTGAAAAAGCCACAAAAAAATAGAAACGTTAGAAATCATTGTGAATTTAGTGAAATTTAACTGGTCTTGCCCGAATTTATTAAATCATGTATTTTTGCACTTTTAGTCATCTTTCTTTTATTCTTATTTTCATAAAAAAAACAAAATCCAAAAAAATTTATTTAGTATCATTTTATTTGCAAATTTCTTTTCTTTTAATTCAAAAAATATATGTAGTTTCACTTTCATGTTTTTTTAATTTTAAATTTAGTTTTAATTTGACATAGTTTGACATGTGTATAAAATATTTTAATGTCTCTTTTACTTTATTTTATATTTTTAGTTTAATTCTTTTATTGTTACTTACCTTTTATCATTATAATTATCATTGTTATTAAAACAAAAAATTAAAATCACTTTCTTTACTGTCACTTTTTATTTGTTTATTTTTGTTATTAATAAAAATTTTCATCTTTGTATTTTTTAGTTTAATTTATTTGTTCATAACAATTTTCATTTATAGATTTTTTTTAGTTTAATTGTTTAATTGTCATAACGATTTTCTTATTTTCTTTTAAGTTATTATTATTATTATTATTATTATTATTATTATTATTATTATTATTATTATTATTATTAGTATTAGTATTAGTATTAGTATCATTGTATTTATCTTTTGTCCAAAAGAATAGCAACAAAAAGGAAGAATGACTTTGGGACCATTTGCAAAGTATTACCTCACAATTACAAGAAAAGCAGTCAAAATAACCTCTAAGGGTATGCTGCACAAACCATGCTATAATAATCCAGAATTCTCACCAAATTGATTATACAAAACTTGCATAAGAAAAGCCACAATGCATAACACCATATTTGTTCAAAACCTATCAAGTTTCTCCCTCGAATTCCACTTATATTGACTATATAAGAGGAGTTTAAAAAACAAGAAAAGGGAATCAAGAAGAAAACATTAACAAAGCTCCAAGCAAAACACTCGAAAAATCATTCCATGCCAATGCTATCTTGCTGCCCACAAACACCCACGAAATCCTGAAAAGTGTCATATTGTCCAGTGCTGTGAATCTGCACCATATCAGTCCAACCAGCCTGCACAATCTGTCCACAAGGAAACCAGGTCCTACTGCCTTGTCATTGTCCAAAATGCTGCTACTGTTATGTTTTGGTTGCTGCCAAAAAACCTGCATCATAAAGCAGCAAAGCAGTGTGATAATCCCATTCAAAAAATAAAACACATTTTGGCTCCAATTCTCCTTGATTGACATTATAAAAGGAGAGGCCAATAAACAGAAATGGGGGAATGATAAGGGAGAAAAAACTACAATAGAAATATTGGAAAAAATTACTGATATAGAAGAGAAGAAAATAACAAAAAAATTCAGAAAAACCACTAAGGAGGCAAAAAAAGAGAGATTTCAAGATACCAATAACACTCACCAAAGTTTCCATATGCCTCCTGTAAGATTTCTCCCTTTTGTTCAAACACCAACTTCACATCGTCTTCATATTTCTCACAAAATCCAAGCTCTACTGAGATAATCCTTAAGCTCTCCTCAAAATCATAACATCAACTCACAACAACTTTCCATACCTGCAAAAAAAAAATTCAAATTTTCAGCCAAGTAACTCATCCAACTGCAACATATTTCCAGAAGCATTCAACAAGCACAACATCTATTTTCCAGAAGAAGAGAAAATGAGAAGCATAAATTTTACCTCTGGTTTTCTTGTTATTTTGTCATTGGAATCGAAATCCTCGGACTAGCTCTGAGATCGTAAGTTTTCCTTTCCCCTCTCAAATCTGTTGAGGTTGTCATCATTGTTGCTTACTGCTTTAAACTGGGGGTTGCAGTTTTGTTTGTTGTCAATGACCGAATAACATAATTAATTGAATAAAATAGTTGTTACAGTAGTAGTTGTTGTTGCAAAAAATATGAACAGTGACATAACCTTGAGAATCACGAGCGAGAGAGTTGAGTTATATTGTTATTGTTACTGACTGAACAAAAATCCATGAAACATAAAAACTTTAGTGGTTGCTTTGAGTGAGATTTTCTTTAGGATTTCATAGGTTGTTACTAACACAAGATAGTGAAAGCATAAATCAGAAAACAAAATCATAACTAACAAGGATAAATCAAAAATTGGAAGCAGAGATAATCCAATGTTGTAATCGATGTATATAGTTGAACAAAAATGCAAACCTGGAACCAAAACTACCACTCCGTAATTAGATTCACCGATTTAGCTCTGGTAAAGTCTCCTATATCTCGTTTCTCCATCGTGATTTCAAAACCCCTTTTGCATTTGCCCTTACTGTGAATTGAGGTTGATAGGAATATAGTTGAGATGATAGATTGAGGAAACAACGAGGCGAAGATATCGTTCCTCCTTAGATATAACAGAAGAAGGATCGAGAATGGAAGAGGATCCGTTGAACTGTGAGGGATTTTTTTTAATCGTGAAAGATGAGATTGAAGATAGAGAAGGTCTGTTTTTGGATTGATTTATTTGGTTTTAATTGAGCTTATTTAGTTTTAAGTGAGTTTTTATTTATTTATTTATTTATGGAGAATGAGTCACACGGTTTGGAAAAGAGAGAGAGTTTTTGGATGGTTTATTTGATTAAGTTAGCATTTAATTAGGACTTATTTTGAATTAATTATGAATATTCTCAAAGTTGCAGCCGATTCAACCTTTTCGCTTAGACCTCTAGGGTTCTTCTTATTTCTTTTCCTTCTAATTTTGAATGGACCTAACCCATAATCCGAGCCCATTTTCATTTTTTTATTATTTTTTATTTTTATTTTTGTTTGTTTGTTGTTGTGTTTATAATCTTTTGGGTCTTATGTGCAATAAGTCCAACTGAATTTTCTTTTTCTATCAAGCCCAATTCCGAAAATCCACAGTACCCCCTGTTTTGTTATTTTTACTTCTGTTCATTTATTTTTTATATATTCTTTTAATTGGCTCATTATATTCTTATTAGTTGTTAATAATAACTAGTTGAGTTAATTTAGTTTTTCTGAGATTTAATCAAATAACTATGTTTTAAGATTTTTAATTTATCTAGATTTAAATTAATAATTTTAGAACCTTTAATTAGTTTAGGTATATTTTGATAATTTTGGAAGTTTTTTTTATTTGTTTAGACCTTTTCTATAACTTTAGAACTTCTAATTAGTTTAGATTTATTTTATAACATTAAAACGCTTAATTAGTTTATATTCATAATTAGTAATTTTAAAATTTTATTTGATTCACATTTAATTTTGTAATTGTAGAACTTTATAAGTTTTATTTGGTTTAGATTTTATTTGGTTTAAATTCTATTTGGTTTATATTTAATGTAGTAATTTTAGACTTTTAGAATTTTATTCATCTAGATTTAACTTAATAACTTTACAATTTTCATTTGATTTAGATTTAATTTAATAGCTTTCAAATTTTTATTTGATTTAGATTTAGTTTAGTAATTTTAGAATTTTATTTGATTTAGAATTAGAAACTTTAGAATTTTTATTTGATTTAGATTTAATTTAATAACTCTAAAATTTTTATTTGATTTAGAATTAGTAACTTTAGAATTTTATTTGATTTAGATTTAATTTAATAACTTTATAATTTTTACTAGATTTAGATTTGGTTTAATAATTTTAAAATTTTTATTTGATTTATATTTAATTTAGTAAACTTAGAAATTTTAGTTAGTTTAGATTTAGTTTAAACTTTAGAATTTTGTTTATTTTAGATTTGATTTAGTAATTTTTTAGAACTTTTATTTGTCTTATATTTAATTTAATAAATTTGGATTTTTTTTAATTAGTTTAAAAATATTCTGATGAATTTAGCATTTTGATTTAGTTTGGGTTCAATTTAATAGTTTAAGAACTTTAATTTAGTAACTTTGAAATTAATTTACTTTATATTTGATTTAGTAATTTTAGAATTTTAATTTTGTCTTACTTTTATTTTGTTTATTTAATTATTTAATCATTTAAATTGTTTACATCAAATCCGAGAGAAAGAATCCATTAGTCGACTTCATGTCATCAAATATATCTTAAACGATCGTTCGAATCCCTTTATTCATTTTGTTTTACTATTTTTCTAAACTTAAGTTAATTTTTCCTAAAAGACTCAATTTTAAAAATCATACCTTTTAAGCCAAAACTTCGATACTAGGTCATCGTATCTTCAAAATATCGTCCAAACAAATCATTTTTAGCCAAACCAACCACTTTTACCAAATTAACCATTTTAATCAAACAAATAATTTTAAAAATAGATATTTCAAAAGGTTCCTGCGGAGTACCGCAGATGCATAGGGTGCTAATACCTTCCCATTGCATAATCAACCCCCAAACTCTAGATCTGTTTTCGAAAATGCATTGTATTTTCATTACTTTTAAGTAGTATTTTACATTGCATATTTTAGGGTTTTATTTCGCTCTTTTCCCTTGGAAATAATAAAGCGCGATGGCGACTCTTGCTTTTGCAAGTCAAGTTAATTAATAGCTTGATCTCCGATTTTCACCGCTACAGTAGGTATGCGAAAATCTATAGTTTATTGTGTTAGTCACTAAGTGATAATGAATTATCAGGTTTGTGTTATTTATCCTCTAGGTCATGATAAATACACAAGCCTATACTCATGTTATCTACCCCCTAGGTTGTGGTAGGTATGCAAAAATATGTGATATAGTTCATTGTGTTAGTCTCGAAGCGTCAATGAATTATCTGTTGTGTTATTTGCCCCCTAGGTTACGATGAATATGTAATAATTGCGAAGTAATCCATTGTGTTAGTTTCGAAACATCAATGTATTATCAACTTTGTGTCATTTATCCCCTGGGTCTTGATAAGTATACAAGCCTGCGATATACCTTACCATGTTAGTCTCTAAGCATTAGTAGGATCTTTTTAACCTGTGTTATTTACTTCATAGGTTGTAGTAAATATGCAAAATTTGTGATATAACTCTTTGCGTTAGTCTCGAAGCAGCAATAGGTTATCTGTCTCTCTGCAATATAATTCATTGTGTTAAGTCTCCATGTGACAATGTATTATCAACTCTATTTTATTCATCCCCTAGGCTGTGATGAATAGACAAAATATGTGTTATAAGCTTGTTATGTTAGTCTCAAAGTGTTAGTAAGTCAATTTCAAGCTGGTATTGCTTACTCCATAACTGCGATATACTTGTTGCATCAGTTTCAATGTAACAATAAGTTATCAATCTTTCAACTTGTGTTACTTACCTCCTAGGTTATGGTAAATATGCAAGATCTAATCTTTGTTCGAGATGTTGGTGAGTTATCTACATCGTCACATCTAGTTTAACTTTACACTTTGTTCAAACTCAAGTAAGATGATATATCATCATTTTTGCCTATTTCTCCGTACTCTTGGGGATGCGGTACAATGTATCCTTATAATCCTTTGGTCAAATTTTGGGGTCTTCCATTATTTAATAATCCTCCGATCCAAACATGCGAGAACTGCACTCACTCACACGCTTCAATCACAGAGTAATTAAATAGGGACATCTGTCATATCCCAAATTTGTCCGCTTCAGTGCTACAGTCAAAATTATTTTCAAAACTAGGTTTTAAAATTCTTTTGGTTCGTTTACACTAGCATTCTTTGGTTTTTATAAATATTCATTTTTAAATAATTTTTCTTATTTAAAAATATACATAATAATTTATTTGTATTTTATAAAATAACAAATACTTGGTCGTCTTCATATAATTTCAATTGAGTTTTTGTTTCAAATATGTAACATAGTAAAATTGGTAAGGAATAAAGCTCCCGAACATAAGGTCATGGGTTTGAATCTCACTTGCTGCACTTTGAGTATTTTTCTGTCTATATGTTACTAATTTTATTTCCATTTATATTTAAAAAAATCACAAAAAGTCATTTTTTTATTATTTAAATATTATTTTTCGTACTTTTAATTAATGTATTTTTGAAAAAATGATTTTATTTTATGCACTTTTTACAAAAATTGAGTGCAAAAATTATAATAAATATCAAAAATATTTCATTTTATATTTAATTGTCTTTTATTGGTCAATCAGTGTCACACTCATCTGATGATTGGTTAGCTTGGTGGCCAAGGAAAATTTGATTTGTCAATTAACTTTATTTCTTAATTTGTTGACTTAATTATTACTATAAATAGGTCACTCTTTCACACTATTTTTCATCAAAAACTCACTAGAGTTCTCCTAAAAGTTATTATTCTTCACATCGAAGAACAACAACAAAGAAACCCTGAAGTCTCCATAAACTAATAAAACATAGAGAACTAGATACAGGGGTTGGTTATGCAAAGGGAATTTGTTAGCACCCTAAACCTCCATGGTACTCAATGGGAACCTCTTTGAAAATTTGTGTATTTGGCTAAAATGAGTTGTTTGCAAAAAGTTTGGAGGAATGAG